AAATATTCGGAAAAAGCTTTAAAAGACAATCATATATAATTATTTATATCTTGCCTTTATTATTGGTTATAAATAAACTCAAGGTGGTGAACATACTAATAATATTTCTTCCTCCTCTTATTATCCTGACAGCAAAAGCCTTGTCAGGTGAGTTGGGCTGAGAGAACATGGCTAGCTGAAGAGCTTTCGGATGGGACTAGAACTCACAGTGTCCTGGTTTCAAGTATGGCACCTTAACCGCTGCACCAAACTGGCTATTCTTCTCACTTCACAAACATATGCCCAGATGAAAAGATGGTTCTCACCTAGGCTTCCTTAACAAGCATGAAGCAGAATCTTGGTCCCAGCAAAACCTCTTTTATTTACACAACTGTGAATTCCTTTCATTCACAGTCAGCAAGGCTTGGCAAACAGTCTTTCAGAGGAATATTTATCAACACGAAACTTATCTTGCTTGGCAAGCTGCCAGATAACTAGCTTCCAAACGCAGGGCAGGGCAACACTTGGCACAGAGTCTCTTATAGTCACAAACAGAACTTTCCACTCTTAAAATGACCAGAGTTAAAATGACAAATAGTTTCCCGCAAAAGCCCACTCCCTGTTCACTCCTCTTTTTGCTTCTCTATGGGAGGGGCCAATCACCTCCAAGGTGTGGCTTTACTCTTTACTCTCAAGTCAATCCTGTTTTCTTATTTGTTCTTGTCTTCTGGTAGCTCTGTGCATGTGCACACTGGGAACAGGCTCCAGCTGTTCCTCTGCTGCACTGCTGTCTCGCTCCCTCTCTGCCTCCGACAAAGAGCCCTCATCTGAGCTTTCCTCAACCCCCAGGACTGGCCCATGTCCCTCCCCAACCTCCTCACTGTCTGACTCTGCTGCCAGCTCTGCTGGGCCACAGCAAAAATGCTGATAAATCTATGTTTGAATTCACAGCAAATAAGCACCCTGAGCGGGAACAGCAGCAATCGAATGTAGACAGTAATAACTAGGTGACAGTTTCAGATAGTTTGGACCTTCACAAGAGCAAATATCAGAGAAATCAACAATTTTGATTACTGCAAATAAATTTACCTCCAAGGTCTTTAATTTCAAATGCTGTTAATGACCTTCCAGTTCTTAAGCAAATGAAAAGCAACCATTACTGTGACATTCTGCCACCAACATAGAAGCATTGCTTGCAAGTGGCATGGAAGCCAATATGGGGCTCTCAGGTTTTACAGGGCATCCTTTTTGAAGCTCCTAAACCTACCACAGCCTTGTTCATCACTGTTGTCTCTGCAGTCATTGAAACCATTGCAGACAGACCAGAGAGGGACGCAGCGGTAATTGGTCCTACAGCTAAATTCTGTATAATTATCACATCGATAGGCAGGGCCCACTAAGAGAGAAGAGAGAGAGAGAGAAAATGACATGACTTTTTGATCAAATTCTTCATTAGAGAAAATAATAGGCATCATACCAGGGTTATTTTCAAAAAATGCAATAGTAAATAAACTATAATTACTATAATATATTCATTTTTCAATTCAATGAAGTGTTTTCCACATAAAGGTGCTCAACAAATGAAAGTGACAGTATTTATTTATTTTAAAAAATGTATACTATGTAGCTGTAGAAAAATAAATAAAATAGCCTTCCTTAATCAAGTAACTTCCTCCACTCAATAATTGGGAGATAATGCCCAACATATCTGATAGTACCAGTAGGGCAGTGACGGCTAGCCTTTTCCATGCCAAGTGCCTAAAGCATGCATGCACATGCATGAACCTTCCAAATGCAATGCACACACAGCCCCTGCACATGCACCCCATTGTGCATGCACATGCGGCCCACACGCATGTGCCCCACCCACCACATATGTGTATGTGCCCCCCAGCCCCTCTGCATGTGTGCATGCTCTCACATGCACCCCATCCCCACCCCCTGCTTGTGCCCCACCCCCTGCTTGTGCCCGACCCCCGCACATGCACCCCCCACATACACCCCACCCCCCACGCACGTATGGCAGACTCAAAGACCAACTGGCCGGCGGGAGGCACGCACACATGTGTGACAGAGCTGAGGCAACAGCTCACACGCCCACAGACAGGGCTCTGCATGCCACCTCTGGCACAGGTGCAATAGGTTCGCCTCCAATACAGTAGGCGAACATTAAAAACTTCTACTCTTCCTTGATATTGTCCCGTATTAGAAGTAATCCCTTTACTTACGATAGAATTAGACAATATCTAACTCCAGTTCTTCCTAATTGTTTTATAACCTTATAATTGTACCGGCCTAATTCTCTCCCATTAGCATAAGATTTTGTCAATAAGTATTCATTGTAGATCAAAGTTGCTGGGCCCAGATAATTTGGCTCAACAGAACCAAATTCAGGGCTCAACAACTTTGGTGTATACTCAATTCTTTAAAAATTTTGAAGTTTAGAGATATCCCTCAACTTTTCCTGATGTGATACATGGATTCAATAACATTCATTGTTGATTTAATATAAAGTTGCTCAGATGGATTTTATGTTACATTTCCACATCCCTTACAGATGGCATATTATATCTGATTAGAATGATATTTCAAAGCCTCCTACAGGCTCTGCACAGCTATTTTGGTGAAGGGGCAGGGTTTCAGGAGGCAAAAAAATGCTGTATTCAGTGTATAAGACGCACTCAGATTTTCAGTCTCTTTTTGAGGGGGAAAAGGTGCGCCTTATACTCTGAAAAATACAGTATTTGTTTAGTCAAAATTAATGTTCATGCATAAAGAATCAGGACTTTCTTCAACTAGAAGCAATGTGTTGGTTCTTATTTCATGCCCTGCAATAGGCATGATAGGAAAGAGGCACTGCAGAGCGTTATTCCCCAGTGCACTTGTTCTCCTGCCTCTCACACTGTTTGGCAGTTACCGCTAAGAGTAAAGCCAAACAGTGCCTCTTAATTGGTACAGCGATGATATAAAGTAGCTCAAGATGCGTTTTGCTTACTGCATTCATGGAATGGTTCATCTGAGTTATCACCACAATCGTTATCCACATCACATTTCCAGGTCTGGGGGATGCATCGGCCATTGTTACATTCAAACTGGCCTGGACGACACGTTCTGCTGGCACAATGAGCACTATCCTCATCTGAATTATCACCACAGTCGTCTTCTCGGTCACACTGCCAGGCTTCCGGGATGCATCGTTTGTTAGCACACTGCCACTGGTGAGATTCGCATTGGTGATTGGCTAAAAGAAACCAGAACTTTACATTGCTAAGAAAATTCATAATACAATTTCATTCGACGGATGGCCCCCCAAAATAAATAATAATAATAATAATCCTGAAAACCTTGACATGCAGACAGATGGAAACATTTTATTACAGAGAAACATCGATATGGAGCTGCTTTATCCAGCCCAGATGCCTTCCAGATGCAATGGAATTTTGACTCTCAAAAAACCTTGACAGCATGAAGAAGCTTCTTGGATGAGAAGCGAAATGTCTTCAAAGAGAAACCAGAAAGTCCAGTTGCCTCTTGAAAAAGCACCTTTGGGACAACTGTGACCTGGATGACTGAGAATCTCCATAGACATTTAGTGATGCAGAGCTGAAAAAGCTTCTTGAGTGAGCATGGAAATCTAGAGAGCCCCAAGTAATGAATCTGGTGGATATATTAAAAACTCAAAGCAGCTTTGGTCTTGGGCAGGTCATAATGGCTATTCTGTTGAGGTGTGTCTAATTCCTACTCATAGAAACAGGACAGTCTACTGTTTATGGTCATGATGAATACATGGGTGATATTTGTGAATAGATTAGAGAGCTTGCCACATACCACAAAGCACATGGTCTTCATCGGACCCATCAGGACACTCTGGGACACCGTTGCACAAGTAGTGGGAACTAGTACAGTTGCCATCATTGCACTGGAATTGCCCGACACGGCAGTACCTAACTGGACATGTGGAAGGTTCATCGGACCCATCCCGACAATCTCTTTGGCCATCACATTTCCACCAGATAGGAATGCACCTACGGGAAACCGAAAATGTGTTTCTTTGCAGGAGTTTGCAGATATGAAGTACAAGTGCATTGCTTGTAGCAGTTGCTGCAAATGAAAATGAGTCTTTTCCCTTTTCAACCCAAAGCGTTGCCTAGATACATAACTTAGGCCAATCTGATCATTCGAATAGGGTCCTAGCCTCCCTGACAGAAAAGTGACACGAGACAATCAGAGGTGGGTGGCTAATTTTTTTGCTACCAATTTGGGCACACTTCTGTGTGCGATCTCACATGACGCTTCTGTGCATGCACATGCTGCCGCTACTACCGGTTCACCCGATCCAGGCCAAACTGGCAGCAACCCACCTTTGGAGGCAATGTTACTGAAGAAGTAGAAATAAGGAATCCTATGCTACTGGGCCCTCTAAAGACCAGCAACCCTTGAAGTTGCTGGCTGGAAAGTCTGGGGATTATAGTCCAACTTTCTAGATCAGGGGTGTCAAACACAAGGCCCATGGGCTAGATCCGGCCCACAATGTGACTGAAACCAGCCTGCAGGCTCATTATGGAAAATGTAAGGGGCCAGCCACCCTGCTTTGGCCTGATCTATGTAATGTGAAGAGGAAACATCAGGCCAGCGTAGCTTCGGCCTGGTCTACCCAGGAAGAGGAAACATGCCAGCAGTTTGAAGAGTGGCACCACACAGACCCAGTAGGCCATGCCCAGTGAGTGGCATCAAACTGGCCCTGCCCATCCAGTCCCCTGAGGTCAACCACAGCCCTGATGCAGCCCTCATTGAAACTGATTTTAACATCCCTGTTCTAGATGAAGCATCGGGGAGGGAAAACTGGGATAGTGAGTAGAAGGTCAGACTAAAATAGAGTATTTTAGATTTAGGTCCTCATTCTGCATAAAGCTCATTGAGTGTGATCAACCCTTTTTCTTACTGATTAAATGAGAGCCATACAGTATCCTAGTTGGAAGTAACCTTGAAGTATAGGACATAACATGCAACAAATAAAGCAACTATGGCATTGCATATGCCTACCTTTCAGTGTCAGCACACAGGAATTGAGTGCTCGAGCACATTGGGAGGCAGTGACCTGTGCTGCCCAACTGCACTACCACGAAGTTATCAGGACATTCACAGGAATAACCGGAGCCACCATTTTTTATTAGGCACAGATGAGAACAGCCACCGTTGTTGGTCCCACAAGGATTACTTACTAGTAAAAAAATGAGGTGAGAAATATCTAATTATTCCCCATAAACAAAATAACACAAACAACATTATTGTTAATAAAATGGTCAAGAATGTACCCATCTTAGCTCTGATCTATCTATCCAATGTTTGCATTTTTACCTACAGATCTGGATCAGGATACGTTGGGCCCAAAGACAATATTTGAGCTGTTTCCTATGTGGGCCCTATGTGAAAGTGTTTAAATGGAATACAGGGAGTCCTCGAGTTACAACAGTTCATTTAACAGCTGTTCAAGGTTACAATGGCACTGGAAAAAAGTGACTTATGACCATTTTTCACATCCTTATGATCTTTGGAGCATGTAGCTTTGTCTGAGGTTTGAGGTTTTGAGGTTTTATTTGCATTTGTAGGCCGCCCTTTTCCCTGAGGGGACTCAGG